TCCTCACTTTCATCTCGCAATGAGTTTCCAAGTCGGAAAAGTCATCCAATAATATTTTAATCAATTATTATGGATTCATACGGTCTGTTTTCATAAAAATTTACTGTATTAATAATTTTATTGTATTAATAATTGATTATTAAATAAATAGTAATTAAATTATTTTAAACAAACCGATTATAATGGATTATAATGGTATAAAGTACAGTTCGATGCAAAAAAAAATGAGACTGGAATAACTGAAAGTTTCTCATAAATGGAAAGTCATAAAGAAACTTATAATATAAAACAGAATAGGCACGAAAAATGGCTACAACCGAGTATGACTAGGCAGTGATTTGATTTACATGGGAACGAATAACATTTAAAAGTGTGCTTGAAATTGACTTCATTAACTTTAACCTCATTTGTGCAGTCACTTCATCTTGGCATTCGATCATATATCTCCTCAACTCTTCGATATTTGTTGGTGAGTTTTTCCCACAGCATGTTCGAGAATGTTACAAACATTTTCAATGGATGATAGGTCAGCTGAGTTTGGCGACCATTGCAAAGTTTGGACATGATTGTCCTCCATCCAGTTCTTAGTAAAATTTGACATGTGTGGGCGAGCACCGTCTTGCTGCAAGATCCAGCCCTCTGAAAAAGGTGCGTCAGCGAACGGAAAAAATTCTCTCCAGGATATGACGATATTTAAGCCCTTTTATATTTCCTGGTCCATCGACTATTTTCAGATTTTAAGAATACTCGGACTGAAATTGCTCCCCACACCATCACTTTCTTTGGGAAATTGGGAGCTGAAATTGTTAATTTTTTGCCAATTTTTGAATACCAGACTGTCAATTTGTTTCTGCACATCCTCGATGCCATAATTTTTCCAGTTTTTTGCAAAAAAGATTAGTTTTTCCTCATGGATGGCGGTTATTCCCAGGTTTTTTCTAGAATTTTCTCCAAATGTACTTATTTTTAATGTACGCTGAACCGTGGCTTTGTGTACATTTATGCCATCCTCGGTTTTAAGTTTAAGCGCAATTTTCTGGGCAGAAATATACAAACTTTTTAAAGCTATTGAGGCAGTTTTTTTCAACAAATTACCAGCTGTTTTTCGAGGTCTTCCGCTTCCCTTTTTTCGATCAAGGGGTTTTCCTTCACGTATCTCTTTTAATTTTCGGTAGTAGGTGGACCTTGATATCTGCAAAGAATTGTACAAAAAATAATCGTCATTTGTTGCTGGCATAGCTAATTCTTGAGGTCAATGTTAAAAGGTGAGTTAGAAAGAATGTGCAACAGTTTACCGCATGTAGCGTGAACAGATATTAAAATTATCACGCCAATTTTTATGTCATATGCAAGCGAAGGAGTAGTTGAAAATTTCATGTTAAGCACTTGCTCTACCAAAATCAAGGGGCGAGGAATTTTTAAAATGTATTTAAAGTCTCAACATTTTTGCATCCAACATTAGATTGTAAGAACCGGTTTTTTAAAATGACTCCGTATAAATTCAAAAATTGGACGCTGCAATCGCTAAATTGAGATATGCAATTAGTTTGTAGTAACAAGTACTGTTTGCTACTTGTTCTTTAAATAATTTCTGTCTTGCAGTATTCTTGTCCCCCACTTCACACACAATTACCTCCTCTCCTTTAAGGGCTTTTTCTTAATTTTTTGTTTAGTTTCTTAATTTTTTTTCAATTGTTTTTTCTTTTCACCCTTACCCGGTTACGTATCTCTTTATATATGCCTTCTCAACGATTTAACTTGAAACTTGTATTTTTAAAATCAAACCGCCAACGCTTTAAAAATGCGCAAAACTCAACATACTCCACTTACATCGCGCCTTCCCTTAGTTTTGGGGCGGCAGATTGGTGTTGAGGGGGGAGGGGGGTATTTAAAATAGGGGGGGGGGGGTAACTGCCAGTAGAATATATGGGATGGGGTGAGGGGTGGTGTGTGTTAGTGTGTGTGCGAGGTGCTGTGGGCATATGTGTAAAGGGGTAGTGAATTCGGGGAAAGGTGTATACTTGATCAGTTTTTTCAACATCCCGAAAAATTTGAAATTTCTTGGGTTAAATATGGGGGAGGGAGCTGTTAGTTTTGCGTTGACACCAATACATAGGTTGTATTAGATTTAGAAATCGAGTAGCCGATAATTAAGCAAACTTCACAAATAAAAGGCAAAAGATTGTACAGTGTATAATCCATATTATTATGGATATTAATGAACTCTAATCGATTTAGAAATTTTTGGTATAAAATGGACTATACTGGACTGCAATCGATTGCGCGTTCCCAAAGTCTAATTATGGTCGAAAAGATTGACAACGTTTTTGACAACGAAAATCGATGATAATCGATTATTAACTTTGAAACCTCATTGCGGGAAATTTACGTGTAATTAAGCTAGGTATAAATTAAACAGTTATGCAAAACAAATATGGAATATTTCGTGAAAAAAAAATGGGTTAAACATTTTCTACATATGTAAAAAACATAATCATCATAACTCAAAATGCAATAAAAATCAGGGTTTTTGATGTTTTTCAATCAACTGTTCTTCAAGCTTTGGGTACTCAGGAACTAGTTATGCGTACCAATGAAAAAATGCTTACAAAAACTAAATATTTTAGAGTGTTTATTTCGATCCAAATATCGTTCTGCGCTTTAAAATGATGATAAGTTAATTTGGTGCAACCTTGAGAAATTACTCAAAATCCATATATGAAGCCTGGGTTATTATAAAAACTGTAGAACATTTTTATTAAACAGTTTTTTTTTATTTCTTACGATAAAACCCGCATTCAGTTTCAAGCGTTAACATTTGAGTAAATTATCAAGCGTTTTTGATCTATTATGTCAGAACCAGATTTTCTAAATTGGGCAAAAATCAATTAAAATCAATTGATAAATGATTATACTCGCTCTTTTTCTCAACAAATGATATACAATGGTAGATTATTTTTTTCTTATTTTGATACTTTTGATTCTGCTCGTAATATTTGAAACCAATTTACTAGATCATTTTCACGGAAAGTGACTTGAAACATCTATGGCGTATGGTTCTTTTTTCCAACCCATTTTAACTTCCCGCACTGACAAAAATGGATTTCGATCGATTTTAGTATGAAAAAAGTATGCAGATAAGATTGAAATCGATTTAAGTTGTAAAAAATTAATTAATCAAAACAAAAAAATTCAGATCGATTTGGATCGATTTTAAGTCGATTTAAATCGATTTATTTTCAACGCTAAAAAAAACGATTCCAGTCGATTTTAAATCCATTTGAATGGATCTTAAATCTGACCTAAAATGAAATCGATCGAAATCGATTTTAAATCGATTTAAATGGATTTTTTTTTCACTTCTTTTTTTCTTCAAATTTTCGAATGGCAGGAAAAAATGAAAAGTTTTGTTACGTGTCGTTACATATGCCAAAATTGACTAAAATGCTTGTAAAACAAAATCAGCCGTCCCCCATACCCCCATCAGTTAAAATTTTGACTCTTACTAGGTATCTACACTAATTATAATAGCCAGGGGGCGGATCTAGGATTTTCTCGAGGGGGGGATTTTCAAAAAAATTTCGAAAACTTTTTCGGCTTTTTTTTAAGTCGACCAAATTGATTTTCCGAGCTCTCTCAAAGCAGTAAAAAGACCCCCTTTTTTGGCGAAAATGTCTGTGGCCGCAGGCAAAACTTTGAAAAAACAAACCAAAACCAGGCTTTTATAGATGCCATCAAATATTTAAGAGACTTAATTACTTTCAAGTAGCTTCAATTATTTCAAAATTCTACCCAATTTTCAAACCTTTATGACAGTGAAAGCTTAGATTCAAAAATTTTTTTTAAATATTCAACTTATCCAGATTAATAGTTTTGAAAAAGCCTGCAGGAATAGTTGTTGTCATCATTTTTGTAGGCTAGAGTTTTGAATACGATTTTTAGCGAACTTTTTCTCTATTTAATACATTTGTTTTTGCTCAATATCTTATTTACATTGATAGTTTTTGAATAATTTTATTGCATATTTTTGAGCTCATAATCTGATTTATATTACCTTTTTTTAATTTATTTCTTGAATTCTGAAACATCTGGCACGCGTGTTTTTATTTAAAAAATCAAGAATAAAGTATTTCAATTAGTTTTCTAAATTGCATAATTTTTTTGCCTTGTTAACAAAAAAAATCAATTTTAGTGAGTCGTAAAATCCATCGAAATCGATTTAAATCGATTTTTTAGACACTTTAATCGATTTAAAATTTTCAAAAAGATTGATTTAAATCGATTTAAAATGGATTTAAGTGAGATTCTGATGGATTTAAGTGAGATTCGCATGGATTTCAGTGAGTCGGAAAATCCAACGAAATCGATTTAAATCGATTTTTTAGACAATTAAATCGATTTAAAATTTTCAAAAAGATCGATTTAAATCGATTTAAAATCCATTTAAGCGCGTAAAATGTACATGGTTAAATGATTTGGATCAATTTAAAATCGATTTAAAATCAATTTAAATCGACTGGAAACCATTTTTGTCAGTGCAGGTTCCTAAAAGAGAGCTCGTAAAGGGTCAAGAGTGATAATACTTCTCTATCGGTCGTGCTTGTTTTTCAAAAGTTAAAGTGAATGTCGAGTAAGCTGGTCTGATTGTTTTTGTGTTCAGAATAGACTAGACAAATATGAGGTGAATGTGACCTACCACCATAAAAATAAATAAATAAGAATAAGAATATAATAAAATTACACTTTTTTCCAAAGTTCTACAAAATTTACTAAGAATTACAAAAAATATTTACAAAAATGGAGTCTTCAAATTTCGCTTAAAATTTTCAATGACTTCACACATCGAATATATTCTGGAACTTTACTTTGCTCCAACCGGCAGCAGCAAGAAAAAAATTGGTAGACATATTTCGTTCTTCCTCGTACTTGGAGTAGCGCTTCACCGGTTCCCATAACGCACCAGTGGCAAAAACATGTTGCAGAGATAACGTGACATGCGATATTCTCGCTAAATTTAGATAACAACGTTGCAAATTTAATTAATTTCGATAGGTTTACTTGTTTTGTATCAGATGGTGAATTCAATGATCACATATGCCAAATTTCAAATATTTACTCAGTTATTAAATCGGCGCTTACTGTTTTAAATCACTCTGAAAAAAAATCCCATTCTTATAAAACTTTTGAAATCCATCAACGGATCAAAACAAAAACGTAAGTTCGTTGATAGGTCAAATCAAATAATCTGTATCTAAGTTGTTGTTGGCTGCTCACATATTCTAAAGTGTAAGAAGAGTCGCGCAAGTTCCAAATTTAGTCTATTGGTGAAAGACTACCGGCCGACTTTTCAAGTTATCGTTGCCAGTCGGCTAACTTCGTTCAAGTCGCTGCTTCGCCGCGATAAAAAGCTCCAAATTTTGTGGTCCTACCCCGTGTTGGTATTGTATTCTGTACTGTTCGCTGTACTGCGGCGGTCAAAATTATGGGATATTTTGAACTCCCCTCTTCTGTAAAATGAAGGAAATTCGTTACAAAAATCTCCCAAGCAGAACCGTTGATTTAGAGCTCCTCGTCAAACTTTTAACAGCCCAAATAAAATCAAATTCCTTGAAGAACTTCTTATGCTACTTTTTTGCATGTTTGGCACACAATCTGTTTTTGCATCAAAACTTTATAATTCTTGAGTGCAAACCGTAAAAAAATGGACTAGCATGAAATCATTTTTGAACAAACAAGAAGAAAAAAACATTATCCAAGTCCTATCCAAAAGTGGCGTCTGATTTCTACAAAAGACATTTTTGATAAATCTGAGAAACGAAATAATTGTTTTCAACATGTACAGTCACTTTGTTAGATTATCTCAAAAATTAGGTGTTTTTATACTATTTACTTTGATAAGTGCATTCGTTTTCACAGAACTTTAACAGAGATCCGAAGAAACAGTTTCTACTAAAAATTTAGTTTTCACGTTTTGAAAATCAATCATATAAAAATTAACTGAAAACAGGTTAATAAAAAGTACTTTACGAGCTGAAAAAGCAACTTATGATATCAGAAAAAAATGACAATGTAGGACAACAAAATTCAACTATGATTATAAAAACCAAAAATGGAGATATTGTTTTAACTTAAATTACACTATAACGTCTAGCAGAAGCTGTATCTGTTTTTCCAGTTCGAACTATCATCATGCCTGCTGAAGCAAACCCAATGACCACAAGTGCTGCTGCCAGAATCATGAGCAACGCTGCCGAAAATAACGGAACTGGTCAAGTGAAATCGGGCAGCTTTCCAGCCAGGTGAATCATTGATTTATATATAACTGAAGAAAAATCACATCATTTTATATTCAATTGATGACAATTTTTAGGTAGTTTTTATGTTCATATTGCATACTTTAGGGCGCAAAAAGCTGCTGCAGCCAATGTGAATCAAGGAAAAACTCAGCACCAAGGCGGCAAAAAATGAATGGCGAACATAGTATGAGGGCTACGGTTGGATCAAATCAAGCTTATTTGAGCAGTCTTGAAAACTGGCGATCTAAAAAAAAATGAGCAATTTAGAACTGAAAGACTCAAAAAAACACGAAAATTACTTTTATTATTCTGTACCTGGTGTGTGTTAGAACCTGTTGCATTGACCTTGATATTATGAAAATTACATTTATGGTTGATTGAACTATTACTTCGCCTTTTTGATTAAAATTAGGTTGCCTTGCGTCTAATTGTCTCTTATCTCTTTCAATCTTCTCTTCTAGTAGGGAGTTCCGATAGACTCAGAGTCTCATTAATTTCTGACTATTTGCGTTTTCACTGCAGTTTTCAAAATGATATACATTCAGCGCGTACTCATTTTTAGGAAAAATCATTTGAATTGAACCAATTCAAATGATTAGAAAGTTCAAACTATGTTTTTTGAAGTTTTTTTCTAAAAAACAGAACTAGTTCACACGGTTTTGTACACTTAGCAATCACAGTATTTCATGACCAAAAAAATTAAGAAATTGGAAAGTATTTTTTTTATTCTTCTTTTCCGATGTAATCTTGAGTTCTGGGAGAGGATAACTTTCGAAAGTTTTAGAAAAATTATTTGAGTTTCCGGGAAATACGACTTTTGATGTTTTTGATGTTTTCATGGGATTTAAGGACGATGCTACGCACAATTTTTTTATTGTAATCTTGATCATTATAAACACCTTAAGTTCAAATAAATCATTCCAAATTTTTATCGTTCATTTGCCAACATAAGATCATGTCGACTTGATATCCTCCCGCACCAAGCGCCCATGTATCGAAATCGTAAAATGTATCGTAAAATTACAAAATAATTGTTTATAATCCATTAAAAATAGATTATAATCCTAAAAAAATTTGTGCCATTAAATTATCAATTGAATTTCTTTGAAGACAGTGCGATATGAGGTTGAAAGCGGTCAGAGTATGTAAAAAACGGTGCGATACTTCGCAAAATTTCCTATGCTTCAGCTCGTTTGTGTAGCCACCAGAGAAAAATTCAAATATAATCAGAAAAGCAAAATATATTGATTTTAACAAATGATGCTTTTAAGCAGTAGCGGATTTAGCGGGTGTGGAAGTGGTTGGCGGACACAACCCTTCAGGAATTCGACTCCCTGGCAACCCGAAGGGTCCCCCTTTGGAATTTTTGGCAGACTGACTCTTCGGTGATTATTTTTTTAACTAATTTTGAGGGGAGAGAGCCGGCCGAAAATAGGCAATTTTTTGGTCAAATTGCTGGTAACGCCTTTTTTGCCTGTTTTTGTTTTTCAAAAACTTGCCTGCGGCGCAGAACTAAATGAGCTGCGAGTTAGCATTTAGCACAGTTGGGTCTCTATACTGATTTGTGAGAGCTCGGAAAATCAATTTGGGCGACCTATAAAAAAGTCGACAACATTTTCGAAAATTTCTATATGAGTTAGGGCCTTGAGGTTAACTCATAGAGTAATTTCGGATAGGGTACACCGTCTGCTCGTGACGCTATCTTATTTTCGGCCGGATAGATTCGTGCAACTTCTTAGTCTAATACCGATCCTAATCTTACACTTATATCTACTAGTCTCAGGGTGTTTAACTAGTCTCTGCTAGGCTCAATAGATCTAGAGTATACTGGCTTATTGCGACTGCTGAAGTTCTCTTGGAGAGGTAACTAATTTTATAAGTTAAATTCAAATCTCTCTGGTGCTGAAATTACAGGTAATTCCAGCACTTACAAATAAGTTGGTTGTTAGTTGGATGGATTATTATTGGTTAATATTAAATATTTTACAGTGGTAAGATATCTAATTTATCCAACAATAAAATGTAGTTTAGATCAGGTTCCACCCATCCGGGTTTCACAGAGTTTTTTAGAACTATCTTTCTTCTCTGCAATTGAAGGATGGATGATGAACGTTGGTATTTGGCGAACATCATTTTCTTATCCGGTTCCCCTTGAAGATGAACCTTCCAGGACGCTGGAATTATGGATATGAAGTTGTTATCTTGTCATTCGACAACGACTGTGATCCCCAATGAGATCAATCCGAGTTCAAAATGGTTTGCTATGTCAGATTTTTCTGTATTAGTAGAGAACTGCTTTGTGTGTAGCCTCGTTTGGGAATGGCGTGAAGATCGTGTTTGGAAGGGATGCCTTGTAACTCGGATCTGTACGTATACTTGAGCATCGAGGTGGTCATTGGTCTAGTTCAATGAAGTCCTTTTCTGCGAAGTCAAGTCGTACTCTAAATCCTTTGAGTCGTGATTGTGGACGGCATGTCGGTTGTGTTTAGCCATTATTTTGTTCGAGTGTAGTGGGATCGTCTAGTCTTTGGATGTTCGTCTTTGTTGTTGTGTATGATCTATATACTGCAAACTATGATATAAGCATGCTCAGGACGTCCTTTTCTGGTGGGTTAGGCCAGGAGTGGGAGTATGGTTGCATGCTGTTTCTTTGAGAGGTCCTGTTATGTGATAACGTTTTATGTTGGTTTTTTCTGGTCTTTCTAATGTTACTTTGGTTGTGTCCTATTTTCAAAAATCGAATTGTTTTTGGTTTGGGTTTGTCTTGCGACTTTTTTGTGTTTTAATATTTCTTTCTGAGACTTTATAATAGTCTTCAAAAGAATAAATTATCCAGTTTTAATCTGGGTTAATCCCGTTTTCTTTTCTTAGTCATGCTGTTATTTTATGATTTGTGGTGTTTAGTGAGCTGCGTTGGTTAGTTTGGTTTAGTATATAATTCCTTTTCAACCGGGTTAAAGGAAAATTTGAAACTTGTTATCGTGCATTAGAGTTGTTTATAGTGAAAGCTTGAAACTTAAAATCATTATTTAAACAATTCTTCGTGGGCGAGCTGTGCGAGTTTGGATAGAAGTCTTGTGCGAATGAATGAAAATATTGAAAAGGTTAGTACTGCTTTCTCATTTTATGAATTTATTGCATTGAATTTGAATTTAACCGCGTTTTGGGGAAATTTAAAATTAAAAATTTTCATCGTATTTAATTTTACTGCTTCGTGGGGAAATAATTTATAAATAAAATTACTACAATGGGTATGAATTTTACTACGTTATTTAGTGCTAAAGATTAAGGAGTTTGAATATAATTTAACAAATTTGTATTTTTATTTGTCTTTTTCTGTTTTGTAGATGACTGTGGTGTGAAGACTAAAAGAATAAATCAAACATTGATAGGAAATGGGTAGTATATATTTGAATTTATTAGTTAAGAGTATTTTAATTTATACTTACCTTAGTCTTCTGGGAAAAAGCCGTAGGGGAAGATGTTTTTAGTAACTTGGCTAGTATGCGTATGTTGTTTTTAGTTTGTAGCAGTGGCCAAAGCAATTGAAATGCCTTGATGGTGTTTAGTTCTTCTGTGCCTACTGCGAACTTGTAAGGTGTGTTTTGGATGAGGTTATATTTTTTATGGTTATATTTAGTGTTGTGAATGAATTCTAATATGGGTATTTCAATAGGTGTGATAAATTCATGCGGGATAAGGAAGGGTCTTGATTCTTCAGCATTGAAGGTCTTTGTGATGGGACAGAATATGTACATTTGGGTAACTGGGTCATAGTTGAGGAGGATGCCGTGTATGTTAGTACGTTTAATGCAATTTGTAAAATTTAGAAAAAATGGTGACGTCTATTTTGAGTTAAGAAACTGAAAACGATGGTTAGGTTGTCTTGATGGAGTGTGTAAATCAAAATGATTTTGTATAAAACGATAACATGTTAATGTGTTTGTTTGTTTAGTGCGCAACATAATATCGTGGAAACAGTGCAAATCGCGTTCCTGTGGTGAAAGAAAAAGAATGGTTAGTAAAAATAACTGAAATTTATCATAGAAGCTTTCATATGCTTGAATATCGACTAGTGATTTGGAAATAATATGATCATGCTTTCTATCAAAAATATTGAGTGTAAATATGTATGATGTTTTTATGAAAAATTTTTCTGTTAGTTGCGGGTTTGCGAAGCAGTCTTCATCTAAAAATTAATCTTGATTAGGGCGGATGATATTATGATCGTAGTATTCTATTGCAAAATCGTTAGCTCGGGGTGCGGTGAATGTTTTTAATAACTTTTTATATCCAACGTAAGTAAATTGACCAGGTGTTAGTGTTGTGGTGAGTCTATTTAACATGTTTTTATTTTTCTCGATACTTTCAGTAGTATTAGCTAATGGTAGGCAGAGGGGGTTAGTATAATGATAATAAGCTGTCCAATGGAGTGTTGGCATTAGAACGTGCTCATCAACAAAATTGCGTGTATCGTTAGCAATGTTAGCAAAATTTTTTGTGTTTGTGTGTTCCGGGTGATTGATATATTCGCGGGCTGTTCCGGGTTTGGTTGGGAATGGGTGATTTGGAAATTTTCGTTTAAAAGTGCGATAAGCTCGGTTAGTACTGGTAGGTGTTTCAGTGGATGTGGATGACTGAGCTAATGATGGAGTGTAAGCTGAAGAGGGTGTAGGAATTGGTGGATTTGAGCATGTTATTGTGGATGATAGTTGATGTATTGTGAGAGTTTGGGGCTGTATTAGTTGTTGTTGTAATGTTATAAGATTGTCGAGTTCTGCGGAAACTTGGATGGTATCTGGGGAGTTATTATGTGATCTGTCGGAATGAAATGGAGAATAGGTCGGGGTTACTTGGGAAGCGTAAGAAGGAGTGGAAACGGATGGGAGTGGTTGAAAAGGGTGTTTTGAAAAAACTGAGGAGTCGGTCTGGGTATGGGTAGAAGGAGATGGTTCGGAGTCTGCGAATTCGTCGGGAGTTTCTACATTAGCGTTATTAAATTGTGAGATAGTATGAAAAACTGAAATATCTGAGTTAGTATCAGAATTCGTGCTTGATGATGTATTATTAATTGGAAAATCGGGTGGTGGGAAAGCAAAAAGTGGGATAATTGGGATTTGAGTTTGGAGGTTGGCTGGGTAGTAATTTGAGCGATGGAGAGATCCAAATTGTCGGCTCATCGTGGGCTAAAAAAATGATTATTTTGAGATTGAAAAGTGGTGGTGTGAGGTTGTTCTATAATTTGTTCATATGCATTATCATTTTGTGAATGATTTGTCATTATGTGCTGAATAGGACATTGTGTTGTATTTGGTCTAAAATTTGGGTTTTTTGTGATTGCTAGGTTTCGAAAATTTTGGGGAACTAATGATAATGGATGAT